TTAAGGTTTGTAAAACAACAATGTTTTTATTTATATGCGGTGAAACTTCAGTATATTATAATATTTGATATGAAGATCAATTTTTACTTAATAAGCAAGGTGTGATTGGATAGTAAAATTTTAGTTCTTGTCATGTCACTTTATTCAATGATCTATACTTTTGATCAGGAAGTGTACAGTTACTAATCGCGTCACAACGAATTCACGTGATAATTGACCAATAAAAGTGCGTTAAAAATCGTACGATTAAAAGAATCATACAATCTATCGTTGTGATAAAAACATTGCCATAACTTGAAAGATTGCATGATTGCATTCCATGTTTTATAATTGTAATAAAATATATGATTATTTTAAAAACATTATTCCTACAGTTTAAAATTGTAATAAAATGTATGATTGTTTTTGTGATTTAAATATTTTTATGAATTTTTAAAAAGTACAAATACAAGTCTTGTTGTTTGGATGGTTATGTATTAAAAAAAAAACAAAGTCACAACCGTTATCATCTAAAAAGTGAAACTTTATTACAGATGAACAAAAAAGAGAAATTTGCTTATTAAAAAGAAATAACCTCAACCAAAAAATGTTGAATTAGCAGCACAATATGGGTTAACCCAGGCCATACATTTGTTATCATCATATTTATGTTATTACATTATTATATTTATCATTTATTTTTTTTAAAAATTTTTTCTTACGTAAAATTTTTTTGTCATACTAATATGTAAGCAATTTTTGTTGATCCTGATCGTCTCAACGAACTTTTGTTACAACGAATTTAGGTGGTCGGTCCCCTACGTTTGCGATTATACTCATATCTAACACCCCAATGTAACGTGATAATCTTTAATAAAAGTAAAATGGGAATAAAAAACCTTAAGCCACAATCTTTAAAATAAAAAAAAAATCATTCAAATTGAGTCATTTGTTGTTAAATTATAAAATTTTAAAGTTTGCCAATAGAAACAAATGGAAAATTCAAAACGTGAATACCCATTTTTGTTAGCTGGAAAAATAGCAAACCAGCTAAACAAATTCAATAGGAATTACAGGTTGCTGAGGGGTCTAATGCGGTATCTTTAACATCTATTTATCGTTGGATTGAAGCATTTGAAAGTGGAAAAATAATGTTGAAGATGATTCATGTTCTGGACGTCCTCAAGAAACCTCCACCCTTGAAAACATTGCAAAACTTGATGATTTAATTAGTGATGATCTTCATATGACAATTACAGCTATTGAAGAGAATGTAGGCATTTCTAGAGGAAGTATTCAAAAGTATTTTACATATTGAATTAAAAGTTCATAAAATTTGTAAAAAATGGGTTCCACATGTTTTTTTAACTGTTGAAAATAAAAAAAATCGGGTTGAAAATTCAATATCTCAATGATTAACCGGTGAAATAAAGTAACCTTTTTTTTATTTGAAAGATGAGAAGAATGTTACTTATATAAATTCATTACACTTAAAATCAGTTGTTTTTGTTGTTAATCTTTAAAATTTAATATCTCAATAATTAGCAATCAAAAAAATATTTGAAAGATGGGAACTCTGTTTTTTATTTAAAAAAATTTCCAAATCAATTGCCTTCAAATTTATAAAGTTACATGCATTTTCTCAAAACTTTTTGTACAACTCGCGTATATTAAAAAAGGATCGATCATACTGTCCACATCACCGCCAATAAATATGAAATTTAGATAAATCATTGTAAATATTGAATTCGGAGTTGCAAAGATTTGGCGTAATAATAGTTATGTACAATTATCAATCTATTTTTTTCTTATTTTTTATACTTATACATGAAAAAAATATATATTTACAACATACGACTCCCTTTGTTTTACCATAATAATAAAGAATACTTGTTTGGAATGACTTGATATCATTTTAGTATTGTTATTATTATGGAATATGAATTCGTGTCCACACATCAGATAGGAGGATGTACGAAATAATCGTATTTTTCCGCAAAAATCATCCACAATCGCCAATTCGATTTCTAAATAACGATAACACGCACCTAACCCACCAATAAAATTGGATATTCTCATGATACTGCGCAAAATTGTGGATGATTTTACAAAATTTGCGGGTATTTTTTGTGGATAACTACACGATTAATAAAAATTCAACAGCTGTTATTTCTTAATTATTTGTGGCGTTATTTTTTGAATGGAATACAAAAAGCTCATTGATTATCGCAAAAAAAAAAAAAATATATATATATATATAAGAACAAGTATTTATAAAAGTCGAATATATTTATATTTATATTCTTATTAAAAAAAAAAATTTTTTTTCAATCAATTCTTTTATAAAAATGACAAAAGGTAGTGATACAATATTGACAATTGAGAAAGATAATGATGTAGAAATAGAAAGTGGTGATAATACGGAAGAAGAAAATGATGTAGAAGTAGAGACAATTGAGGGAGTAAAGTCTATAGAAGCGGAAAGTGGTTATAATACGGAAGAAGAAAATGATAATGAGGTAGCTAAGGGAGCAGCAAGGTCTAATGAAGCATTAAGAGCAATATTTAAAGCAGCAACAGAAACAATTATAGCGGTAGGAAGATTTATCACAGAAAAATATGAAATATCAGAAAATATCACTAAAAATCCAACCACAGATTATATAAATGTTGATGCCATTGAACGGGAAACTATAATTGATAATATTAATTATAAGTTTTTAGTAACCCTTGGTAAACAAGATGGATCTATTGCTAGATGGACAATTGATGACAATGAAACAATTCAACCATGTAGCAAAGATTGTTTTAAATATTCTAGAGAAAATATAATGGATGTTCCAGAGAATAAAGATATACTTGATTGTAGTAAGTAAATATGATTATTTATTATGCATATTATATTATTTATAAGCAATAAATAATAATAAAAATTTACATCATTCAAAACCAATTTTATTGACTTGACTTTTCAAAAAAAAAAAAAGAAAAGAAATATCTAATTGGTGCTAAATTTGGGGGTTTCACTACAAATAATGATTTAATAACAATAAAAAAGGATTCTTTATACTATTTTTCATCTAATGAAAAAGATAATAAATTGGTTCATAAATCAACATGCCACATTTACAGTAATTATCATTATAATGCAATTACAGATTATTTTGTAGATTCTGATTATCTTCTATTAAATGATAAGCTTTCATTATTATCACTATGGAAATGGAAACCAACAACTATATCATATCATGATAGTTGTTATTTAATATGTAAAAGAAATCATACTGATATAATATTTAATCAAGACAAAACAATGATGGCATTATATTATAAAAATACTTCAAAAATAATAGTTTATTCAATAAAACTTAACATTACTATTTCTTCATGTAAGTATAATTTAACTTTCTTTATTTTATTTATATACACTATATTTATTTATTTATTTATTTATTTATCTTACAGTTGAATTGGAAGAAAATATCACCATTAAGAAATTAGATTTTATTTATATAAAAAGTAAAAGTCCATTAGAATGTTTATTAATATTATATTTAAATGCAAATAAATACATTTGTAAATTAATGGATCCTTATAATTTAAATAATATTATAAATAATACTGAATATTTTAATGAGCATGTTATAACAAATGCACATGAAGATATCATATTTGGACCAATAATATTAGAGAATAAAATAGTTATGGCTATTAATAATCAAATTTGCATTAAAGAAATTATTAACAAAGAAACATTAGATGCTGTTCAACAAATGCACACAAAAAATAGCTGCTATTTACATTCATATATAGGACAAGCATTAAGTAGAAAATTTGATAAGTCTCATAAAAGACCAAAAAAAGGTGATATTAATATTAAATGGAAAATAGAGCATTATGAAAATCGTAAAAATATCAATATAAAAGCTCAAAACATTGATAATAGAACAACAATTGATGAATATGGTATTCATGCCACTGAAAAGTTAAAACAATATGGTTTACTAAATAATAATGATTTAATTTTAATAACACATCGATATATACGCATTTTGTCATTTAATAATCAAAGTTCTAAAATAGTTATAAAGTATATTATTAAAGATAGTGAATCAAGAAAAATAAAAACATCTATAGAAACAAATAATATTGAAGACTATTTATTTAATTTCAATGATGTTACTCAATCTGATTATTCCAAACAACCTTATAAAGAAATGATGTTATATATGTTGGAAGATTTATATAATTTCAGGCATGGAGAAAAATTTTTAGGATTAGCATTAAATGTAAAGGATAACATATTTGTAGAAAAATTATTTGATTCCTGTCTTAAATATTTCCATGAGGATACTGCAACAAATATTAGTTTATTAAAAATAATTATATCAGAATTACCAAGATTACAAAAAAATCATCAAAAATTATCAAAATTCTTTAATCAAACTTCAATGATATTATTTCCATTTAATGATAAAATTTATCATGAAAAAATTCTTTATAATGCAATCATTAATGAAAATTTTATTTATGAAGATAGAACCTTTTGGGATTTTTTTTTTATGTTCAAAAGGTTTACTATATTTGAAAAGGTTAAAACATTTTTATACAATAGAGAAAATAATAATAAAACTAAACCTTGTGTAAAATTGATGATTCCATATCCTGGATTACTTACATACAAATCCAAATATTCATCATTGAAAGAATTATTATATAAGCCAGATAATAGTATATTTGTTGAATTAATTGCATCAGATCCTTTAGAACTATGCAAGCATTTGAATAGTGAACTAATTTTGGATCATAAATGGAACACTTTTGGA